CCCTGCATGATTGGGTATCAAAAGCAGCACCCCAGAAAGTGTCTGTCAAGTGCTGTGATGGTGGCTATGTGGTGACAGCCAGACACTGGCAGTGATTCCTTGCCCCTCTCTCCAGATGAGAGCCCTCTGCTGTCGCACCAAGCTCCAGTTTGTTCTGTGGTGTTCTCGGCGCTGCTGGATCCCAGTGTGCAGCTGCAGCTGGTTGGGATCAAGGCACTGACTGTCCTGGGCTCCCTGCAAGGTTGGTGCCTTTTTTCCCTTGAGACAGGGGGAGGTGTCACCATGTTCTGAGAGACATGGTGGCTGCTGGGACATCCTTGCCTGCTGCCTGTAAGTGCACAGGAGTAGCAGCAGTGTGTTCTACCCAAGTCATGAGCTCCAGGGACATTTGGTCTCTCTCTTGCCTGTTTGTGCTGGGCACCTTTCATCTCTGGCATTTTGTGTGCTGTTGCATTGCTGCTGGCCTGGATGAGGGGGAAGGATTGTGTCCAGCACACCAGCATCTTTGCCTTTGGCCAAGGGTAGGATTCCTCTATGGCTCTTGTTACAGGCTTCCTGTCTTCCTCTAATCTGGAGCTGGTTGTGGATCACCTCATCCGTCTTGCTTTGCATGAGGAGGATTCCCAGAGCAGGTGAGGGGAGGGCTGGCATCATGCGCACACTCTGGGTGGCTTTGCTGTAGTCTGAGGGAAGGCACAGGAACTCTCTGAACAAGAAGACTGCATGGAATAAACCAGACAATTCATGGGCTGGAAATAACAAAGTTGAGCCTGTCAAAGCAGGGGTTCTGCTCTGCCTACCTGAGGGGTGAAAAAGGCAGCTGAGAAGTGGGGTTCTGGAGACACCTTCTGGCCAGGTCTGTGCAGCTGGTGTACAAGCAGCCCTGGATTTGCAGTCCTTGCATCACCTTTCCCATTCTCTTTCCCCCTGGCAGTGAAGCAGCGATGGAGGCAGCTGGGTCCCTGGCCCCCACCTACCCAAAGGTTTTCTCTGGACACATGGTACCCAGGCTTGAAGAGGAGCTGCAGTTAGGTAGGGCTGGGAAAGGAGTGGTGACTGGTTTTGGGGTAAAGCCTTTTCCACCCCCATTGGGCTCCTGCCAGGCAGTGGGGCTGTGTTGTGTGGTGTAGGTTGGTGGCTGTCCTTGGGGTTTCCCAGCACAGGCACTGTGTGCTGGCACAGGGGAGGCTGTGGCTGGTCTGGCAGCCAGCCTGTGTGGGGCCAGGGCCACCCTTGTGGGAAGGAGCTGCCCAGCTGCAGAGCAGGCAGAGTGCCTTGGGCCTGGCATGGGCTGGGTCTGCTGTGCTGCTTCACCCCATCGACCCTGGCAGGCTGTGGGCCCTGCTGTGCCTGGCTGGGGTGTCCCCAGGTCCCCCTCTGAGCTGTGTTTCCTCTGCAGAGCGGGAGGAAAGCCACCACAAGCGTCACTCCTTGCAGCAGCGCTGCCTGCAGGCCCTGGCAGCTGTGTCCACCCACACCAGCATCGTGAAGGACACTGTCCCCATCCTGCTACAGCATCTCCAGAAGGTGCAGAAAGGTAATGGAGCTCCTGCAGGCAGCTCCACAGAGCGTCTGGGTAGGAGCTTCCTGTTACTGGTGATGGCTGGGAGAGAGCTGGAATGGCAGTGTCACAAGGAATCCACACCTGGCCTGTGAATCCCACGGGTGGAGTGGGAGTCAGAAGAGCTGCATTGTCCCAGGATCCTGGTGCAGATCAGGGGGCTGGCTGTTGAGGCTGATTGACTTGGTGGTGACTGTGCCTTGCAGGGACTGAGGCCAAGAACACCCAAGACGTGATCTCTGTGTGCCAGAGCCTGCACCGTGTGGCCCTGCAGTGCCAGCAGGATGCTGAGGGCTGCTGGTACTTCCACCAGACAGTGGTGCCGTGCCTGCTGGCCATGGCTGTGCAGGCAGCCATGCCAGGTAAGTGCAGGGCTGGAGTTGGGAGAGGGGAGAACAGGCAACTCCTGGGCTCTCAGGGGTCCCTGATCCTGCAGTCAGTGCCACTGCTGATGCCTTTTGGTACCCATGGCTGTCAGGAGTGGGCTTCACTGCTCCCCACCCTTGTCCCAGAGCCCTACCCCACTCTGGTGTGCATTCAGGGGGCTGTGCCTGCCTCCTCCTTCTGAACAGCAGGCTCCAGCAAGTTCCATTCCTCTCACTACCTGCAGAGAGCACCCATACACTGCCAGGCAAGGCACTGCTGGAGGAAGAGGTGCTGGCTGCCATGATTCCAGTCATCAGTGCTGCCACCGCTCACCTGAGCCCTGAGTGAGTGAAGCTGGGGCAGGCAGCTGGGTGCTCCATTGTGGGGAGGGAGCAGGCTGCATGCCCCCTGCTGCTGTCTGTACAGGGTGGCCCTGTGCCTCCTGGGAGGTCTCTGGTGACCCTTCCAGAGCAGCACACTACAATGTCTTTTCCTAGGCTGGCTGCCCAGAGTGTGTCTCATGTGGTGCCCCTCTTTCTGGATGGAGATGTCTCCTTCTTACCCCAAAACAGTTTTCCCTGCTCCTTCCAGCCTTTTGGGGTATGTTTGGTTGGGGCTGGGGCACCAGAATGAGGATGTTTGCACAGGCTGGCAGCAAGGACTGTGATGAGATGGACGCTGTTGTTCCCTTGCAGGATGGGGAGCACTTGGAGGCACAGAGACGCCTGGTCGCCCTCCTCATGGCCTTCGTCTGCTCCTTGCCCCGCGATGTGCGTTCAGTGGAGAGGAGCCCTGCCCAAGCACCCTCCAGCCTCTGTCCACACCAAGCTCCATGGACAGACTGAGGGAGCAGCTGCAGCCCTGGGCCATAACACGTTGTGTCTCTTCCAGGTGGCAATCCCTCAGCAGGAATGGCTGCTCCGGGAGCTGCTGGCATTGAGCTGTTCCTCCAACTGTCCCTTCACGGCCACCACAGCTGCCAAGTGCTTTGCAGGGCTGGTGAACAAGCACCCAGCAGGTAAGGGGGCTGGGGCAGATGCCAGGTGTCCCTGCCCACTGCTGACAGGAGGAATGGCTCAGCTTGTCCCTTCCATCCCCAGGGCAGCAGCTGGATGAAATCCTGCAGCTTGCAGTGAACAGGATGGAGCCCAGCCTGGCGGAGGGGCCCCGCCGAACGCAGGCACTCACCCTGCTGCTCTGGGTAAGGCCAGTCCTGGATGAGTGGGGCAGGGGGGCTGGGGGACCCAGCCTGGCACTGACTGTTCTACCTGCACAGGTGACCAAAGCCCTGGTGCTGCGCTACCACCCCCTGAGCTCTTGCCTGACAGACAAGGTAGGTGCTAATGGGGCTGGGTGGTCTAAGAAACCTGCCTTGCTCCTCCATGTTTGGCTGGGCACCCCCAGGAGCAGGGCACTGTGTCTCAGGGCTGTCTCCCTCGCAGCTGCTGGGCCTGCTGGGTGACACAGAGCTGGGCCCTGCCACAGCCGATGGCTTCTCCTTGCTCATGGCCGAGTCCCCGGACGTGCTGCACAAGGGCTGCCATGCTGACGTGCGCATCATGTTCCGCCAGCGCTTCTTCACTGACAATGTCCCCAAGCTGGTGCGAGGCTTCCATGGGGCTGGCCCCGGTGAGTGCCACCCCCAGCCCAGCCTCACCACTCCTGACCCTTTAACCAGGGGACCTGAGCCACCATCTCCTCCTTCTGCAGGCTGCTTGTAACCATCTCTGCTCTCCACAGATGTGAAGGCCAATTACCTGAAGGGCCTGTCCCATGTGCTCAATCACCTCCCCAAACCTGTGCTGGTGACAGAGCTGCCCACGGTAAGAGCCAGCCTGGGTGGCAAGCAGGGTGAGCTGTGATATTGTGGAGTGCATGGTTTGGGGTTACTCATGTAACTGTGTTCTCCCTCTCTCTGCAGCTGCTTTCCCTCCTGCTTGAGGCCCTGTCCTGCTCAGATCGTGTAGTACAGCTCTCCACACTGAGCTGCCTCCACCCACTGCTGCTCGAAGCTCCCCAGATCATGAGCCTGCATGTCGACACACTGGTCACCAAGTTCCTCAACCTCACCTCCAGTCCCACCATGGTGTGTGCACCCCCTCCTTCCTCCCTGCTGTGCCCCTCTCTCCTGCCCCCTGTGCTGCCCTCATCCCTGTCTGTTCCAGGCTGTCCGCATCGCCGCCCTGCGCTGTGCCCATGCCCTTACCAGTCTGCCCACAACAGTGGTAAGTGCTTCTGCAGCACCCTGCTGCCTGCTCCTGCATGTAGAGGGGCCAGGGCTCCCAGACCTCCTGGGGGCAGCCAGCATCCATTTCTCTCACAAAGAGCCCCTTCTGTCCTACAGCTGCTCCCATACAAGGGCCGAGTTATCCGGGCACTGGCCAAGCCTTTGGATGACAAGAAGAGGCTGGTGCGGAAGGAAGCAGTGGCAGCACGCGGAGAATGGTGAGCGTGTGGAAGTAGCTGCTGGGGGGATGCCAGTGTGTAGGGGATGTGGCTGATGGCACCGTCTCTGTCCCTGCAGGTTCCTGCTCGGGAGCCCAGGCAGGTGAGCACCCTGTGTCCCCTCCCTGTGCTGACCAACAGTCTGACCGGCGCCTCGCTAAGCCACCAAGTCATCCGACCAAATGCCACGGACCCTCTGGATCCTCAGAGCCCAGGAGTGCCCTGAGTGCTAGGGCTGGAGCGTGCAGGCCAGCAGACAGCACCCCTCACTGCAGTCCCTTCCCAGCACCCACAGCGGGGAAGGAGCTATGCTGCTTGTGGCTTGCCCACCCTCTGCTGCAGCCAGGGACAGTGATGGACAGCCCCTGCCACATGTGAGTGGAGAGGACAGGTCTGTGCACACGTGTGGTGTGTGACAACCCATGTACCAGAAGAATAAATATATCTGTTTTGATAATGCTCTGAGGGTCTCCATGCAGCTCAGGCTGGGTCCTCAGTGCTCTTCTCTGTGTTCAGCTGCTTAAGATCCTGCTGGTTATAGACCCTTCCTCTTCTTTTAAAATTGTTGTCCCTCTTCTCCCATCCCCAGAAGTCCATGTCCCCCACAAGATAACAAAAACAGACTCCCTTAAAAAAAACCAGTATTTAATAGATGGTCCTAAAAAGACTCCCCGGGGATCACTTGGGGGTGCCATCCTCTGTGCCCAGCCCTTCAGAGAGCTGAGCTGGGCCAATGCTGGCCCGTACCTGTGCTCATGAGGGCAGCACCATCCAGCTGGAGCAGGGAGCAGCAGCTCTGCCACCTTGCCCGTGGGCTGCCTGCAGCCACCAAGAGCCAAGAGGGCAGGTGTCCAGGCACCAACGCTGTCCATAAGAGTTCCCCATGGCCCTGGCTCCAGTCAGTGATATGTGCCAGCCTTCTGCCAGGCACTTTGGCCAAAGGAAGCTGCAGTGGTGGAGTGGGTTCCCCTGCCTGCAGGAAGGGATTTCCAGAGCACAGGGCCTCAGATTGCCAGGAGTGGCGCGCGTTGCTCCGTCATGCACGGAGGCAGGTCCCAGCTCAGGCCTGTCCCGTGGGGCAGGTGAGGAGAGGGCAGCAGGACACGGGTGAGCCAGTGCCTGTGGGGAAAGTGAGGCCACAGCCAAAAGGTGAAGTCTTGGTGCTTCTCAGCTCTGAGGAGCCATATCCTGAGCTGCCACAATTGCTGAGCTCCTCAGCTCAGATTCTCTTGGCAAAGGTGTGCTGGGCAGGCCACCTTGTCACCAGACAGGGCTCCTGAGGCACAAGGCCAATGACGTCCACATCTTCCACACCTTACAAAGCCCAGTGCAGTGTGGATCAATGTTCACTGTTGTCCTCTCCCCCAGCAGCCCGAGGAGAGCCCCTGTTGTCCCTACAACCCCAAGGGCTGCTGAGCCACCACCTTCTCAGGCAGGGGCTTCCCCAGGATTTTACCTTGGCACATCCACACCGAGGAACACCTTCCAGTTATCCCAGCTGCCATAACTGTAGGGGTTCCTGAAGACCTGCAGGACAGGGAGAGGCACATCACGTCTGGCTCTGCCCCAGCCAGTCCCCGTGCTGTGGGCTCTGCTCACCTTGCCCTTCTTCTGCAGTCTCTGCCTCTCCTTTCTGTTGATGTGCCGCTCGATGCTTGTTTCCCCACGAGTAATGAGGGCAGCGTGCCACAGCGTCAGGGCCCCCAGGGCCAGTGCCACCGAGCTAGGTATGACAAGGGACAGCAGGTGGAACACAGTCCTTCCTTCCCTGGCACTGCAGCTGGCGGGGGCTGAGGCTGCCTCCCCACAGCTGCACAAGTGGGTCAGCTTTTCTAATCTCCTGTGACCGAGACAAAATCTCTCCTTCTCTGTGGCCCAAAGGGTGGCAGGGCAGCAACCTCTGTGCTAGAGTGAGCAAGCCCAGCTACAGGCAGGCAGATGGCAAGCAGTGTCACAGGCTTCATTCTGTTTTCCCCAGCCCCTGGGCCCCCTCACCTGCACAGGACCCAGAGGTAGACCACGCTCTTGTGGAAAGCTCTCTGGCGGAAGGTGAAGGTGGGTGGTGGGGTCTGGTAGTATGTCTGAAAAAGGACCAGATGGGGAGGATTACCCAAACTGCTTTAGAGCTTGAAGCCAGACAGGGATCTCTGCATCCTTCCCCTTCTTGGACAGCAAGAAAGGACTGCAGCTGGAACTAATGCAACAGCCAAGGTGAGGGGGAGGCAGCTGGGATAGCCACGAGACAGACAGACAAACACCCAGAGCTGGCACAGGTGTAAGGAACAGTGGGCTGGAGGTAAGGGGGCAGGGAGCAGCCAAGGGCCTGGTCAGGACACTGCAGCTGGTGGTCATGGAGAGATGTGTATGTAGTGCTGCAGCTTCACCAGGAGACCATGGCCTGAGCATGCCAAGAAGCTGTCACCAACCCAAGCTCCTGGAAGCTGGGGGCAGAGGCAGACCCCAAGCTGCTGGAGGCATTGTCCACAGCAGAGCTGCCTGACCAGCCCCAGCTCTCTGACATGTGAGATGAACATGGGGGCTGGTTCTGATGTGGGGTGCTCCTTGAGAACGGAGTCCCAAGCAGGACCCAGCCTGCACAGCAGCTCTGCTCCACACTGCCTGGAGCAGCTGGGGGGCAGGGATGTCCCACCTGGTTGGCAGCCACCTGCAGTCTCTCCTTCTCAAGCAGTTTCATTCTCTAGGGGGACGGAAAACAGGGCACCAGTTATGTGTCTCAGAGGAGCGGGACAGGGACCCTTCCCCTCACACCCCACAGGACCAGAGCAGCTGGGGGCCTTGCAGGAGGAGGAAGAGGGGAAGCACAGTCAGTATATGGCTGGGGCTGGCCCAGCCTTGCTCTGCAAGCTCAGCCTGGGGCAGCCAGGCAGTCTTGGTGCGTGGCAGAAGAAGCTGCTCACCTCAATGGCTGCGTAGGCATCCCGGAACATGTCCCAGCCGCTGATGCTGCAGTAAATGCAGCCCATGGTCATGAACAGGCAGAAAGAGAAGAAGTAGCGGTGGTTGTAGTGGCCCACACAGTTGTTTAGCCAGGCTGCCTCTGGGGTTAAAGGTACATAACTCTAACAGACCATGGGTCCAAACCCAGCCCATGGACGAGGGCAGTTCTGGGCCCTGCTCCCATCACCCATTCCTATGCTGGCTGTCTCCTCGAGAGAAGGGACTGGGAGAGAAGGGGGAAACAGCGCTGGTTCCCCCCAGGAGTGTGCCACTGGTTAGTACTGCAGAAGGATACGGCAGTGGTGGTCCATCTTCAGCACACACCTGGGAGAGAGGAGACCAGTGCCAGTGTCAGAGCCAGTACAAGGGGTGTGCTTGGGAGGGGACAGGCACCCCCCAGACCCGCAGGCTACAAGCGACAGGGCAAGGAGGGGGCAGAGCAGAGGAGAAGGGCCTCTGTCTCACACTGGGGCAGGCAGGGGGTGAGGAACAGGGTTCCAAAGGCTGCCCCAGGCAGAGGGAGGGTGTCCTACCTGTTGCAGATGCTGCAGTGATGGGTGCGAGCTGGCTTAGGGGCAATGCATTTCCTGCAGATGGACACACCAGTGAGGTCGTTCTTGGCCTGTACACAGATCAGAAGAGATTTGTGCATCTTAAACGCTGCATCTCACACTCCTGCTCTCCTCTGTGCTGCCCCACTGCCTCCCCACTCTGCACTGCCCAGGCGAGCTTTCCCAGTTTAGAGGCGTCCTGTAACAACATCACCAGGCTGTTCCCAGTGACCATCTGCAGCTCCCTTGGTGCCCCACCTGTGGTGGGTGCCCAGGTGAAGTGGTGATAGCCATGTAGTAGTGGAAGACAATCATGATGAGGTTCCAGTGTCCATAGGCGAGGTGCCAGCATATCCAGGCAGGTGTGTAGGTCTGCAGGATGAGGGGCAGCAGGCAGATGTACACGATGGCCACAATAGAGCTCGTCAGCCCGATCACCAGTGCCACAAACACCTACAGGAAAGGAACCTGGTCACTGGAGTGGGCAGCACCTGCCCCTTGCTGCCTGGGAAGAGGCACAGGCAGGACAGAGCCAGAGGAAACCAATCTGAACCACACACTGAGGTCCCAGCTCACTTCCGGCCTGAAGCACAGGCAGCCCTGAGCCCATTGCCCCAGCACCACGTGCACCGTGCCCCAGAGAGGGACTCACCACACCAAACCATCGGGTGACATGGTCCACCAGCCAGTACACCGGCTCGAAGAGAGAGTCAAGCACCACATCGCCGTTGGTGAAGGAGTTGTAGAGCAGGGAGCGGAGGCAGAGGTGCCCGTAGTGCCACAGCTGCTCCAGCTGCCGCAGCAGCCTGAAGCGCCGCCGCCGCCCCAGGCGCAGGCACTTGAGCAGCAGGCGCATCACGGCGGCAAACATCCGCTGCCGGCTCCTCATCCCTGCCACACCACGCCTGGGGGGACAGGAGCTGGGCGTGGGCAGGCCACCCTGCTGCCTGGCCGTCCCTGACGCGCTGGTGCTGGCAGTGCAGCCCCCTGAGCTGCCGAGGATGCGGATGCCGAGCTGGAGAAGCTGAGCTCCCGCAGGCTGCGGGGCCGCTGTCGCCGGGATGTCTCTCTGCACGGAGCAGGGGGCACAGGCCCCTCAGCATCTGGGCTCAGGTGCTCTCTGGTCCCATCTCGTCTTTCCCAGCGGGGAGGGGGCCGGGGGAGTGACACGGAGAGTCTGACTCAAAGGAAACCAGAGAAGGCATGAACATCCAGCATGCTGGGCCATTTCCAGGATGATTTCAGCCCTTCCCAACATGTTCATGAACAGGGGAATCCACACAAGGAAAATGTGGAGGAGCCAGTAAAGGATTACCCCTCCTCCCCTAGTCCCTCCTTAAAGTGAAGGATGCTACTTCCCTTCACCTCAACTTCTGGACCAAGTTGCAGAGGCTGCCCTCCCAACCTCACTCCAAGAGTCCCAACACTTCCTCTTTCTCCTCGCCTGGATCCTTGAACAGTGCCAGACACCAGCAAATGAGAGGCCCAGGAACAGCCCCTGGCCAGTGGTCCCCTGCCTGCTGAGCCCCTTGTCCTGCCTGAGAGCTTTGCTGGGAGTGACGAGGAACCCGATCTGGCCCAGCACATGGGAAAACGATCTGCAGGGCTGGGGCCCCCAGGCACCCGTGCAGGCAATACCCATCAATATTAAGCAGCAAGGCTGCCCCAGGGTCCTGCCAAGGCACGTTTTGAGCCTGGGCCAAGCACTCGCCCTGGCCTGGTGCCAGGCTCTGGTGCCAGAGCTCAGATGATCCAGCAGGATCATCTCTCTGCACTGCTCTGCCCACCAACACAGCCCCTGGGGAGCACAGGGAGGGTGAGGGCAGAAGCTGCAGCATCCAGAGCCTAAAGGAGACAGGGCTCTCCCCCACCCTGCCTGAGGAATGTGGGGTTGACCCCAAGGTTGGGATGTGCTGGATATGAGGACCCCAGACCCAGCAGCCCATTCCAGGTCACAGGCATGGCTCCTGCCCTGGTATGGGACAGGTGGGATATGCAAATGACTGCATCACTCTTTTCTCCACATTTCCCTTTTGGTTTGCCAAGAGCTTTTCTTTGACACTCAGCAGGTGCAAAGTGGAGCAACAACTTCCTGACATGCAGCTTTTTGGTGGCGCACATCCCTCTGCTGTCAATGTGGTAAAAAACAAAATACTGCCAGAAGCAGATGTTGAGGTCAGCCCTTTCCTCCGAAGACACAGCACCTTCCTGCTCCCCAAGAAGCTTCCTCACCTACAACAGCAGCAGCTGCTGGGCAGAGAACCCACAGGGGAGGCAGCCAGCCTGCTCCAGAGCAAGACCCACTGTCCCAGGCAGCTGCCTGAAGACAGCAGCACAACCACAGACATGAGGCTCCAGTAGAGTCACGAAACTTTCCCCTGCCCAGCTGGGCACTGGGATCCAGCCCTCGCCCTGTCCATGGCCGTCCCCACATCCCCGCGGGGCACCGAGCCCAGGGGAATGGGACAGCAGCCCCCAGCACAGACCAGAGCACTGCCAACCTCACAGCCGGGGATGGGGATCCTTGCATTTGGCCCCAGCCCAGGCAAAGAGGAGGCCTTCCCCTGCCAGGCCTGGACACCCAGGCGCAGCGCTGTGGCACCCTCCGGTGGCTCCACAGCGCCCAGCCCCACAGCGCCAGGACACTCTCCGCCATTCAGCCCCATGCTCAGAGGCTGCCCACGCCTGCAGCCCCACCGCGTCCAGCCCCGAAACCCCAGCTCCTCTGCCCCGCAGCATCCCGGCCCCTCCAGATCAGCAGCATTCCCCCGCTGCCTCCCATCCTAAGCGCACCCTATGGCCACAGACCCCACAGACTCCACGGTCTCCCAGCTCCGCACAGGCCCCTCCTGCCCCACAGCACACGGAGCATCCCCCATCGCCTGCTAGCCCCCGCGCTCCCCGCCCCACAGCGCCTCTGTATCACCGCCCAGCCCGCCCAGCCCCACGGCAGCCACAGCCCCCACAAGCCCACAGCCTCTGGCAAGGCCCTGACACCCCCGCCCGGCGCCGCCGACCTGGGCCCGCCGCCCGCCGCCTCCATGCCCGGGCCCCGCCGGCCCACGGGCAGCGCCCGCGCGCGGCATGCCGGGAGCACCGGCTGCCGTCACCGGACTACAGTTCCCAGCAAGCCTCACTCCGGGTAGGCGAGAACCAATAGCCGCGAAGCTTACAGGGCAGCCTTGAAGTCTGGAACCAATAGGGTGAGGGCTTTCTGGTGATGCCCTGTCGGCAGCGGGCATGGCGCCTCCCGCACGCTACTGCGTCCCTGGTGAGTGCGGCCCGGGGCGGTGCGGGGCTCCTGGGGCTGGGGCTGCTACTGCCCGGGAAGGGGACGCGGTAGCCTAGGAGAGGAGCAGGGGACGAGGCAGTGCGGGGGAGTTTGTCCCGGGGATGCCCTGCACTAGGCCGGCTGGGAGCGAGCGCTGTGCCCGGAGCGGTCCGGGCCCGGATCCCCGGCAGCCCCTGAGCCCCTGTGTCGCAGGTGAGCGGCTGTGCAGCACGGAGGAGGCCACGGCTGGCAGCGGCACCTACACTCGTCATGGCTTCATCTTCTCCTCGCTGGCGGGCTGTCTGGAGAGAAAGAATGAGGAAAACGAGGTGAGCGCGGCCTCGGCACGGCTGCTCCTCCCCAGGGCTGAGTGCTGTGTCCCCAGGCTGCACAGCTTCCCTGGTGGGCTGCGATGGACTGTCGGACTCCGATGGCGTTCGGCTGGTGATCCTGTGCTGACCCTCGTGTCTTGCCCTGCAGCTGCCCGTGGTGTCGGTGGTGAGAGACAGCGAGTCCCAGCTCCTGCCCAACGTGGGGGCTGTGGTGACATGCAAGGTGGGGCACTGGAGCGCTGCATTGACAAACTGCATGGGCCTCGACTCTGGCTCCTACTGAACTTCGTTCCTGCACACGGATAGGGTGGGGTGAGGAATCCCTGGGCTTCTTAGTCCCCTCTGTACAACTCCCACCAGGGCAGGGGCAGCCCAGGGGCTCCCTTGAGTCCCTCAGAAAGAAAGTGAATATTGGCATGAGGGATACCTGCCCTGAGGCTGAAGTGGGCTTGAGGGGACGATTTTCTTTGCTCTCCTTCCATGACTTTTTCTGGGGCAGGGAACATGCTGGTCAGTGCCTCAAGCAGCTTGTAGAAAGGATGACACAGACCAGGGATTAGTTTTCTTATGTTCCTGGTGGCAGGAGAGGGACTGGGATCACTGCAGGTCTCAGCCTTATTCTGGTGCCTCAAATTGCACAAGTATAATCTTCCTCGCCTGGCTTGCTGCCAGGTGTCCCACCATTGCTTGGTGACAGGGTGGAGGCCAAGTGAGACCTGAGCTCCCCGTGCAGCCCTGCCTGCTCCTTGCCCTTTCCCTGCCTGGACCACTGAGTCTCCTTTTCCTACATGCAGGTCTGCAGTATTAACTCTCGCTTTGCCAAGGTCCACATCCTGTATGTTGGCTCCACGCCGCTGAAATCCACCTTCCGAGGCACCATACGGTAGGGAAAAGGTTAGATCCCCTCCCTTTAGGGGGAGGAAGGCTGTGGTGGGCAGTGCAGCTGGCTGCCCTGAGCTGGAGCTCTGCCCTGAGCACTGGGCTGGTGTCCAGCAGGTCCCGCTGAGTGCCCAGGGAGGCTGGGACAGCTTCTGCCACAGGCTGTTGAGTCGTCTGTGCTCATTGGCACTCAGATCCCCCCATCTCCTTTTTCAGGAAAGAAGATATCCGAGCCACAGAGAAGGATAAGGTCAGTGAGGCACTGCCAGGAACTATTCCATACCCGTTGCCCCCAGGTTCTGCCTGTGGGGCCCCCACTGACAGCAGCCTGGCGCTGTGTGGCATTGCCTGCTCTCTCCTGTGCAGGTAGAAGTGTACAAGAGCTTCCGCCCCAGTGACATCGTCCTGGCCAAAGTTGTATCCTTCCCCCTCAGGGACAGTGGGTTGGCTCAAGCTCCCCTGTGGAAGTCTTTCCCTTAACCCCTGTCCAACCAGATCTCCCTGGGGGATGCACAGTCCAACTACCTGCTGAGCACAGCAGAGAACGAGCTGGGCGTGGTGGTGGCACGCAGTGAGGCAGGTAGGGACAGAGACAGGGTTTGGGATGAACTAGTGCTGCCTCATCCCTGCCTTAGGGCAGCTGATGCAGTTGCCTCCCTCTCCCCATGGAGGAGTGCAAGTTTGGGAAGGAACAGCCCTGACATGTTGTGTCCCCAGGGGTGCAGATGGTGCCCATCAGCTGGTGCGAGATGCAGTGCCCACGGACACACACCAAGGAGTTCCGGAAGGTGGCCCGGGTACAGCCCCAGTTCCTGCAGACATAACACCAGAGGGGGCAGGGGGCTGCAGCACTGGGGCCTGTGGAGCCAGAGCAGCCCCTGGGCTCCCACCTTCTTCCCAGCTTCAGCCAGGCCTCCACTGGCAAGGACAGGTTTGCCACTTGTGGATAATAAATTTTTTTTGAGAGCTTCCTGCTTTGTTCCTTATAGTCAGTGTGGAAGCCAGGGCTATCTACAGCACTCTGGTCTGCAGCAGCACAGCAGCTGAGGGAACAGCTTCCACAGCACCAGGGGCAGAAGGAAGCACATTTTCGGTGCTGGTGAAGGGGAGTGATAGACATGAACAGCACAGAGCACTAGGTTGGCCGTCCAGGGCACTCACCTCACCATTGGTTTCCCCACACTGGAATCAAGCTTGGAGCAAAGCCTGTCTCAGCACACCACTAACCAGTGTGGGCTGTGGCTGAGAACAACCTGGGGACATTATCTCCTCAGGCCACAAATGCATGCCCTGCCCTTTGGAACGAGGGTGTGGCACACACAGAGCCCAAAAACCAGAGCATGGCAGGGTATCACCCTGTCGGGCAGAGATTGCAGAGCTGAGCTTTGCTCCTTGAGCCTGGCACAGCTTCTGCACACTCATGTGTGTGGCCAGCAGTGACTGCTGCATGTGCACGTGCTGGCAGCATGGAACCCACATGGCCCAGAGACACGTGGACACTTCCTTATTGCGCATTACTCCTTTATTGAACTGGAACAAGACAGCTGCTATGGTTGGACAGTTACACTGATCCTGTGCAAGCCCAGGCTCACGACACCAGCAGGGGGGAGGCCACAGTGACAGGCCACGTACACACATGAGGGGTGGGACACAACAGCACCTGCTTCACCAGCAGGATGAGCATGGTGCAGACACAGACCTCTAGGCAACAGGCTCCCTCCCTCACCCTTGTCTGAAGGCAGTATAGTTAAAGCAGAGGCTGGCAGAGCTGGGCCCAGAGTCGTGAGCACCACCCTGGGGTGCTGTACCACGTGCACCAAAACACAACAACCTTCCAGTGGCATCCCAGTCACTGTGCCTGCACCCACGAGGGGATGGGGTACCCACCTTGGTCACTGCCAGCACTGCACTCGCCTCACTGCTCCCAGGAGAACTAAAGTGACAAAACTACAGTAAACAGGTGATGAGAGCTGCCAGGGATGCAAAGCAAAGAAGGAGCCTGGCATGGCAAGGGATTGCTTGGCCTCTCCCTCTGCAGACAGGGTCTGAGGATTGGGATCACAGCATGGACAGGTGTGGGGTCACTGCCTGGCAGAGACAGGGCTCCCTTTCACACCAGACCTCCATGTCCAGCCCTCGCCCCAGGGCCCCCAGGCTATCTGCAGAGGAGAGCCTGCTCTGAGGGAATGGGCCTAACCGTGGGGAGCACCTCCAGCTCCACAGCTCCGAGTTCCTACAACTGTGGGGGTGTGAACAGAGGGGTGGGGGATGGCAGGGGGCTCTACTACGTGGTGCTCTGCTGCCTGCCCTCACTTCTTGGCCTTGCCCTGAGCAGCAACGGCCTCCATGGCCTTGCGCACAGTCTCCTCATCCCCCAGGAACTGCATGGGCTTGACAGGTTTCAGGTTCTTGTCCAGCTCGTAGACAATGGGGATGCCAGTGGGCAGGTTCAGCTCCATGATGGCCTCTTCTGACATGCCTGCAAACACAGCAGTGCCGTCACTCTTGCGCCTTCCCACAGCGGCAGCTGGGGAAGGAGGGGTCCCTGGGATGCCCCTCAGGGGTGACCTACCTTCCAGGTGCTTGACAATCCCACGCAGGCTATTGCCGTGAGCAGCAATGAGGACTCGTTTGCCCTCTTTGATCTGTGGGACGATCTCCTCATTCCAGAAAGGCAGAGCCCGGGCAATGGTGTCCTTCAAGCTCTCACACGTTGGCAGCTGGTCCTCTGTCAGGTCGGCATAGCGGCGATCCTGGGAGAACAGCCACGCTCACACAGCAGCCCAGTACCCCCCAGCCAGTGTGGGAAGAAGGTGGCAAGATTCTGTCTCTCCCCCAGATTCTCTATCTGAGGACTCACTATGTGTAAGCAAAGTCAGGCATGGAAGCAAGAAAGTGCCGTTGAGGTTTGTGGCTACAACAAGCCACAGGGCCATGAGCCCTCCTGGGAAAAGTCATACATTGCCTATCTAGGCAAAGAAATCAGATCAAACATTCATGAATGGGTCATGGTACTAATGATTAACAGAGATATTATGCCCTCTTCTTTGGATCTGTCTGTACAATGCCCAGGGGTTCAACTCCACAGGAAGGAAGCAGGATAAATTCAGCCTGAAGTCTACCATCTCCATGCAAAACAGCCCCAGATAACACAAGAGAGACACAGGAGACCTTATACAGGAAGCCAGGCCATGCTGTAGGTAACTTTCAAGAGACTCTTAGCAAGGCAGTTAAAAAAAGCAATAGATCTCACCTTTGCAATAGTGCTGTAGAAGGGGTGGTCAGACTGCATGGGAGGCGGAGGGATGTCATAGGAGCGCCTCCAGATCTTGACCTGCGCCTCACCGTGCTTTGCTGCTGTCTCAGCCTTGTTCAAACCCGTGAGAGCCCCATAGTGCCTCTCATTTAGGCGCCAGGTCCGGATAACGGGCAACCACATCTGATCAATGGCATCCAGTACGGTCCAGAGAGTACGGATCGCCCGTTTTTGTACCGACGTGAAGCAGATGTCGAACTCATAGCCGGCATCTAGAAAATACGGGGAAAGGGGGAGGCGGGGGAAGACCAGGAAGGTGAGTGGCCGGCCTTATGCAATCGGTGAAAAGGGCAAGGGCGGCGGCCTCACCGCACCGGTACCGATCGCGTCCTCGTCTTTACAGAAAGCGGCGGCGGCCAGGACGCGAGCGGTACCGGAGAACCAACACACTGAAGTACCTACGACTCTCCCAGCAGCACTGAACCCCCGACCCGGCACTGGAGGCCCTCGCCCAGCATCAGCGAGCCCCAAACCAACACCGTTAGACTCGATGTTGCCGCATTAGGCCGCATCCCATTCCCCCGTCCCCCGCGACCCCCCTCTTGGCCGGCACCCCCTCCTTGGTCCACCGGTACCTCGGAGGGCCTCGCCACCGCGCCGCGCCTCCTGCTGCCCGGCGGGGCTGAGGTCGGCGTCGTACCACCCGCTAAAGCGGTTCTCGAGGTTCCAGGCGCTCTCGCCGTGGCGGACGAGGACGAGGCGGTATGCGGCGGCCATGGCGGGCAGAGGGACCGGGGCGCGCTGCTCCTCACGCCGCTGCCGCGCGCGATTAACGCCCCCGCTCGGCCCCGCCCCGCCCCGCGCACCGCCCGTGGGAAGGGGGAGGCGCATGCGCTGACCGCGCGCCAGGCGGAGGCGCACGTACCACATGGCGCGGCCGCGAAGGGCGGTGCGACCTTCAGGGCGTGGCGTCACCGTGACGTCACGACACTCAGTAATACGTAACGTGACTCCTCGGCCGGGGCTACGGGCTGGGTCTGAGCGGTTTCACAGGGCCGCGGCTCGGGCACGGGGATGCCTGGTGGGCTCTTGTCGGTGGCGGCCCCTGGGGTTTCCCAACTCAGCTCCGACTGAGCACTCCCCCGACACCGCTTGTTCCCCACTGGGCCGGCACGCGGCCTTCCCCGACGGCTGCCCTCACTCAAGATGGCGGCTGGCGCCGGAAGCGGAAACGAGGCTGTGGGCACGGCCGCACGTGGCGCCGGGTCCAGCATGGCGCGGAGCGGGAGGCTCCGCTCGGGAGCCGCGGCCAAGCTGAAGCGCTGGCGGAAGGGACACAGCAGCGACTCCAACCCCGAGACCCGCCAGCATCGTCTGGCTGCCCGCAGCCGCTTCTGCAGCCGGCCGGCGGGTAAGGGCAGGGGCAGGCGGCTCCTGACGTGTGCCCGGCTCTTCCCGGAGGGGTGCAGGGGCGCGGAGGGGCTGCGGAGCCAACCTTGGGGTCCTCCGAGAGCTGGGGCTGGGGCAGGAGTGAGAGCGGAGCCGCTGACAGTTCCAGGGTAGGCGGAGGCGGCAAACCGGGGAGGACAACCGGGGCGTAAGGAGTTTACCTCGTAGTGACACCGGGCCTCGGAAGCGGAATGGGGCACCGCATGCTGCAGTGCCTCTCGTCCTGCGAGGCTCCCCAGAGCCATGGCCATATCTTTAAGTGTTGCTGTGGTGTCTGGTATGATGATGAACGTGACAAACTAACATTCAGCCGGCCACATGATGGGGAAGGTAAACCCAAGTGTGAGAGCACTGGCTGCTCCTGGCCAAGGAAATCTTTCTCCTGTAGATGCTGGCTGCAGGCTGATGGCTGGGACTCACAGGGACATACAGCATCTGTCTTGGCTGTCTGGTTGCTAGGGCTTCAGGTAGAAGAGGATAAATAGGGCAGAGTACAAGAAGCACCTTGATGTTAAAGTCTTGGCATGCATGGACGTGATGCTCTCTTTCATCAGAAATGACTGGACTGTGCTCTGGTTTCTTTGCACAGGAACGAGGAGCTTTTTACAGTTATTCATGTGCTTTTGCCCCCTGGGGCAAAGCAGCACCTGTATTCCACATGCTGGATATGAGCTCCAGCCAAGCCAGTCTGGCTGGGAGGGGAGCGTGGAGGATTTCAGGGTGAATGGTGGAGCGCTGTGACTCCTCAGTTCTGACACATCTCTCACCTGCAGAGAAAAGTAACCTGACGGTGGATGCAGTGAAGCTGCACAATGAGCTGCAGTCGGGGTCCCTGCGTCTGCAGCGGGCGGGTGACAGCGCCCAGCGGATGGAGGAGGGCAGTGCTGAGGAGGCGGCCACAGAGAGATCCTCCGGCACCTTCCTGAGCGGCCTGAGCGACTGCAGCAACGTCACCTTCAGCAAGGTGCAGCGCTTCTGGGAATCCAACTCTGCTGCTCACAAAGAGGTACGGGCAGAGCAGGGCTGGGGAAGGGGGGTGTCTGGGCCCCTGGCTGTGAGGCTGAGAGGTGCTGACCTGCTGTGCTGGCTGCTCACAGATCTGTGCCGTGCTGGCGGCTGTGACAGAGGTGATCCGCTCCCGGGGCGGCAGGGAGAGCGAGACAGAATACTTTGCTGCACTGGTGAGTTCTGGTTGTGTGGAAGGGGCACGAGGGGAGCTGCTGCTGGCAGCATGGGTGGGCTCTGAGGAGGGATAGAGAAAGGTCTGTGCTTGTAGCCTGAGTGGCTTTGTTCAGCAGAGATGCTGTTGGGCTGCTCCTGGTTTCTTTTCCCCCTCCCCAGGGGTTGGGGAAGAGCT